GTTCGAGGTTCGGATTCTAACGTTAGCATAGGGTCTCTTCGTCTTGAATGGGTTGTTATAGTTCGAGGTTCGGATTCTAACGTTAGCATAGGGTCTCTTCGTCTTGAATGGGTTGTTATAGTTCGAGGTTCGGATTCTAACGTTAGCATAGGGTCTCTTCGTCTTGAATCGGTTGTTATAGTTCGAGGTTCGGATTCTAACGTTAGCATAGGGTCTCTTCGTCTTGAATCGGTTGTTATAGTTCGAGCTAACGTGCCTTCATTTTACATATTACTACTAGAGATATTCGAGAGGTACACGACCCGTGCCGTTACTACACTAGACACACAACTACAGTATACCTTTGTTGTAAATCTGCAATTAGCCAAAAACTGATGTTTGCTAACATCGTTTGTATTTCCAAAGATATATGGATTAGTTGCTTTGCGTATAGTACTTAGGACATTCATCACAAGCTAGGAATACACGTGCCCCCCCCCCCCCCCCCCCTACACACACACACGCACACACGCGATTGCATGCTTTTAAACTGGCGAAGCAGGTGCTACCGACTAAAACACACACACACACACACACACACACACACACACACACACACACTTATATATATATATATATATATATATATATATATATATATATATATATATATAGTTTAATGTAATAAGCGTTGTTAAATTATACTTACTCACACAGCCAGAAACGTATACATGGCCAATATGACGTGCAAACAACAGGTGTTCATTTCAGATACTAGGTAATTTAATTATCGACTATAATATAGCATATCCAATTTGTGTCTTAACGATGCCCGTCTTCTGTATTCCCCTAACTGATTGCGTTGGCAGGCGAGGCTGATAAGCTTCATTTGAAACTCCCACATGCACATCTTTAAGCTTCCAGGCAGCCCCCCCCCCCCCCCCCCCTCTTTGTCATGAGATGTGTCGTGTGTCAGCTGTATCGTTATCTTGTCGTGCCTACTCTGGTCGTGATGGATGGTGGCCAGGAGAAGTCAACAGGAGTTGTAAAGCAGTATTTAAGCTTTAATGTGAACATTGGATTGCAGTATCATTTTCCGGTACATAGACATGTTTATAACACAATGAAAGTGTCATTTACATATACATGTTAATAACACAACAGTATCATTTACATATATATGATCTTTACACAATGACAGTATCCTTTACATATACATGTTCATAACACAATGACAATATTATTTACATATACATGTTCATAGCACAATGAAAGTGTCATTTACATATACATGTTCATAACACAATGACGATATTATTTACATATACATGTTCATAACACAATGACAGAAGCATTAATTTTACATATACATGTTCATAACACAATGACAATATCATTTACATATACATTTTCATAACAAAATGACAGTATCATTTACATATACATGTTCATAACAAAATGACAGTATCATTTAAATATATGTGTTCATAACACAATGACAGAAGCATTTACATATACATGTTCCTAACACAATGACAATATTATTTACATACACATGTTCATAGCACAATGACAGTATTATTTACATATACATGTTCATAACACAATGACGATATTATTTACATATACATGTTCATAACACAATGACAGAAGCATTAATTTTACATATACATGTTCATAACACAATGACAATATCATTTACATATACATGTTCATAACAAAATGACAGTATCATTTACATATACATGTTCACAACATAACAGTATCATTAAATGTACATGTTCACAACACAATTAAAGCACCAATTAGGTATACATGTTCATAACACAATGGCAATATTATTTACATATACATTTTCATAACACAACAGTATCATTAAATATACATGTTCATAACACAACAATATCATGTACATATACATGTTCATAGAACAATGAGGTCGGCCGGGTAGCCTAGTGGTTAAAGCGTCCGCTCGTCACGCCAAAGACCCGGGTTCGATTCCCGACATGGGTACAATGTGTGAAGCACATTTCTGGTGTCCCCCGCCGTGATATTACTTGAATATTGCTAAAAGCGGGGTTAAACCACACTCACTCATAAAACTATGAAATGGCAGAACTATACATGTATTACACAATAACATATTAAGCATTACATGCCTATACATGTACCACAAGGACAGTACATGTTGCATTTATACATATGTTACTGTATATAATCAATCTAGCCGGTCGTCTAAACCGATAACCACCATTTCCACCATACTCTGGAAGAGGTCCTGGGAGTTATGTTCAATAGAAGCCAGAGAAGATATATGGTTAACAATGACATATCCCCCACTTCCCGTGACACTTATTTCTAGCATCACTGTTCCTCCGTACTGCCAACATCCCGCGTTCACATACCAAGTATTGACGCGGATGCCTTGTGGACAAGCTTTAACGTCTTTATTGGAAATCAAAGCACTATGGACAGCATCCATGAACAGGAAGCCACCAGAGGATGATTGACAGTAGTATTAATCTCTTCCGTCCCCCACGGATCATTGTGGTAAACCTTGTCCAAAAATGATTCCCCGTTCTATTCTAGTTCTTGCTGTTGACACACGTTTTGTTTGTGAGTGATTGAGATGAACGGTTGTGGGCACCACTGCTAGTGTCCGCACTCTGACATGCAGTTTCAGAACTTTGGAGTTATTCCTGGAGTTCCAACCCAAAATAATCGGATTTGACTTTTTCCTTTACCGTGCAATTGTGGATATATGCGAAAAACGTGGATATCCTGATAACATGGTTCTTTCGTTAAACGGACAGAAGACGAGGACAGAAGGGCTATCGGGTTACAATAAAGATACACAGACCTTGATGTATCAAAATGCTTTGTGACGTAACACTTATAGTGTTTAAAACGGCCACAGCTCTATATATATTCTGTAATTGGGAAAATACCTTGGCAGTGTTACTTGGTTGTGCTTATTTATCCCGGTTTGTTCTTAGTTTGACATGAACGCCTCATTCCGTATTTGTTTGTTTGTTTGTTTGTTTGTCAGCAGGCCTGACCACCCGATCCCGTTTGTCGCTTCTTACGACAAGCATGGGTTGCTGAAGACCAATTCTAACCCGGAATCTTCACGGGGATTGTGTATTGGTTATTTGAGTCCCTGTGCTCATTCATATAGGACACCGCTCTTAGGACAGGGAAGGTGTTTCTTTACAGTGCATCACTTCATCACGTAGCACCCATCACAAACACTTGCAGGTCAAACTACGGGAACAGATGGTACAAGTCAAACTAGGGAAATCATCAGACATCATGTTTTATCACTGATGCGTCAAATTTGAAAATGTCTGAAACTTCAACTGTAACTGAAATACTGATCTCTGACGATTACATCATACCATCAGAAACAAATGAATCTAGTTGCGCTATGTAAACTGAAGAGGATCACTTATGATAAGAACTCAACTGGCCCCACTAGATCCAAGATAGTTGAGACGATTTCTGTCTTCGCAACAGGTGCATGTTTTGATCTTGCAACAAATCCGAGAAGAAATGGGGCGAACGAATGACTTAGTTGAGGTTTTTCATTAATTGTTTCTAATATTTGCGCATAAGCATAATGAAGGAAGAAACTAAACATTGAAAGTGGAAAAAAACATAGTTACTCATTTTATTCATACTTAATCATGTTATAAATTCAAAATAAAAACCGACAAGCGATATGATGAACATGTCTACTCTCTTATTTATGTTGACAGTAAAATGTTCCCTAACCATTTCCAGTAGGAAAGTCTTTTACAAACGGTTGAAATTATACACCGATAATTATTTCAGAACCTGAGAGAAAAAAAATGAAATGAACTTTTACGCTCAAGGTGACTTTGCTTGAGATCTCCAAGTGATTTAGTAAACTGATTTGACAAGCTTCTGTCAGTTACCTTCCGCGCATTATTTATCTGTGACAATCCACCTAGATGTCGCTGACATAATGAGACCTCCGGGAGAATCCTGACACTCCACAACATCCCAATTATAACACTCTCAGTAGACTACGCTCACCAGCAGACAGGTAATGTGTAGGTAGGAGACGCGATAGTAGGCTTTAACCGCATGTCTTCAGCCAATAAGTAACAGGTGTAGAATGCCTTCCTCTATTAGTCCTTTCTAAGGATCCTGTTTCGCTGATTTTGCCTTTGTTCTTGAAACTAACCACAATGACCTTTAATCGACCATGTTTTGTTCGTACACTTTGCCCGTGGCACAAACAAATGTAAAGAAAAGGAAAAGACAAAGGAAACGGAAGTCATATTGGTTATTGTACACTCATAGTCATTATCATATGCCAATGTTCGTTTTTACGTTTTACGACCCTGGATTGCCCGGTCCAGGCTCAATTACATACAGGTCGCTTCCATTTAGAGGAAATAATGCTGAGTGCGGTGTGAAGCAACAAGCAAACAAAAGTTCATGGAAATCAGTAATAGAAAAATATTCATGAACACATGAATGCCATTTAGAAAGTGGTCAAATGTAACTAATGTTTTATCTGGGATAACACTTTCTTAGTAGAGTACAGATTCTGGTACTTTTGGGGATGAGTCCCATCCGGCATTTGAACCCACACTGTCAGAGTGAGGCACCTAATCGCCAGCACACTCTGACAGTGTGGGTTTGAATCCCAGATGGGACTCAACCCCAAAAGTACCAGAATCTGTTCTTTACTGAGAAAGCGTTAACCCCAAAGAAAACATGTTACAAAATATAGTCACTTAAAGTTGTGAAAATAATAATAATAATGATGATGATGATGATGATGATGATGATGATGATGATGATGTGCACTCGAATTTCATTTTCAGCTCCCAAGTGTTTATATAACCCACGTAAGAAGGTTAACAGTCGCATTACCCTTTCATCCTATCGGTTACCACTTCACTGCTCGGTGAATCCGAGCAAAGTACCTTACTCATTCTGCCTGTCTTTTGAAATTATGATAATGTTTGACTATTGTTATTTTTTAGGAAGAACACACATGTACTGCACTACCACTCGACAAGGACAATGAAGAGTACATAGGTAAGAATCGTAAAAAGTAAAGAAATAATCTTACAGATTCTGGTACGGATTTCCCTTAAGTACATATGAGCTTAAGAACAACCTGTTTCAAACTTATTGCTATTGATAAGTCTATATTTATACATTCTATATTTATAACAGTAACATTTGACCCGAAGGCTGACCCGTCCCGCGTCCTTCACCTTAGCGTCCAAGTGTGCGATGATATTCCAAGTCATGAACTTTTGTGGTAAGGGGATTATATTTCACGCTATGCTTCTCTCGGGATAATGTACATCTTCCCGAGGCTAGGGCGTTAACTGACTATAAAAGTCAAGTTTCCACCCTTGCTGATCTGGGCGGAAAGTCCGGAGTTGCATAATAAAGGGATTATGCTGAAACAATATATTGCTTTATTTATCACGTTAATTATACTTATTATTTTTAAAATTTTATTTTTAAATTTTGTGTCATGATACGTGAAGGAATGCATCAAAATCTATTTGCGAAACAAACACATAAGTTTTGTATAATGGAAAATATTCTCGCCCATGGGCCAAACCTGTTTCTCGCCCATGGGCGAAATATTTCAATATCGCTATAAAATCGTTGAATTAAGTTAAAATGAGTTAAATTTTGTGTATGATACTTGATGGAATACAAGTTAAATATTTGCGAAACAAAAACATGAGTTTTGAGTAAAGGAAAATATTCTCGCCCAGGCCCATGGGCGAGATGGTGTAAATATTGAGTTTTTTTACTTCTTTTTTTTCCTTTTTTCTTCGTTAGTATGTTCCCATGAAAACAGCATGCTTATTTTTGTAAATACCTTTGACCGAGACTGGGAAAAGACCGTAGAGTTTCTGGACTTTTGTGTTTCCAGAATTAAAATGGGACGTGTTATAGTAACAGCTATTTGGTACTTGCTTTGCGCATCGTGGCATTACGTCATCCTTGCAATAAGAAATGTCATGCTATATTGAGATTTAAGTGTACTGTGCTTGATTTATATACAACTATACACGGTTGTCTCCCCTAGGTCATGCGGTGATGGCGTCCCCGGATGTATAGGAGACATTAGACCTGTCTATGTGTGGGGCTTGAACTCTACAACATGGCGGCTGCCACCAGGTACGTTCCAAAACAAAGTTAACCTATCACCAAAAGTACCAGATTGAATCACGTCTGTGTATATATAAATATTCAAATACCTTGACAACGATTAATTATACACAAAGGCACGTTTTAATGCATAATGTATTTATATTGATGCAACTTTTGTGGTATTAAAATTAAAGCGACCAACCCCTTTCCATAATCATAAGAAATATCTACTAAAAGCAGAGTCCTTTGTACGATACGACGTTGTTGTCTGCATTACCCTAATTCTAAGGTCGGCTTATTTCCATCCCTCACAGACACGGCAATTCCAGTGGGCGGGGCTTCTGGCGGACGCTTCATCGTGCTACAGGCACATATACATAAACAGCGTCATTCAGGTAAGTTCGCTTCACAGCAAAGAAGCTCCAATGGCACTGGCTCAAGCATATTGCTCAATCTATGATTAAACCGTGATTTTATTTTCACATGTGATATTCACAACTTAAACAGTATGTCTAAGTGAAATGTTAGAGGCATTGTATGGTTGATAGCGTCGTACCATCGATAGCTTTAAATGCATGTACATGTATGGAAGATGGGTTGTTCCACAACACGTATATGCGTAGTCTTAATTGTACTTACAATTGTATCTACAGTTATATTCAACTTGGTTAATAGAAATTCTAAAATTTGATGCTAGTAATTTCAGACAAAAATACCTCGACAACTTCTTAAGCTTATGTGTAAAAAAATACTTTTCATTCATAGTAACCCGTGAAGATAGGATAGAATGGGTCTTCAGCAATTCATGTTTGCCCTGTGTTTGTCGGGATCGGGAGATCAGGCTCGCTGACCTGGTTGATGCATGTCATCGTATCCTAACTGCAATGATGTTAGGCATTGGATTGCCTGGCCAGACTCGATTATTTACCGACCGCCGTCATATAGCTGGAATATTGCTGAGTACGGCATTTAACAACTAACAAACAAATCATTCCTGGTATGTTGTATGATTCATTACTGACTTCCATTGAAAGGCATATATAGTTTCGCCACCCCTTGCTGATAGCTGTTAGATGTATTGAGTATCGTGATAAGTTAGATGTATGTATTACAGATAGAATGATGTCGTCCCACCCACACTACGCTGAAGTCAAGCTCCATGTCACCACTCGCAGGTAAAGTCTCCATGTGAGATTCAAGAAATACGAGGGTTGATTGATAACTTCTGGGTCTCAAATGACGGATTTGCGAAGTTATATCATTTGTTGTGGATATTGTATGGTGCCAAAAACTTGATTCAATTAAACAAATTATTTCGCTATGAAAAGTTAGTAAAATTAGCAGGAAAATGGAAAATAATTGGATAATTGACAAACTTGAGGAATTTGCAGTGATCAAGTACTTGCATTAAAGGGGCTTAACACCAAAGGTAAACCATGCATATATTATTATGCCCCTTCCTATGCCACCGTAAAGCGCTGGGCAGCAGAGTGTTAGCGTGGCAATGAGAGCCTTGAAGAAATTAAAGCGGCAAAACCCTTTCCAATTGTAATCTCTGCATAAAGCAGAGTCGATTGTACAATTCCGACTAAACTCACGTCTTGGAAGGCCTGTGACGTCAGCAACACCAGAACTGATCCAGCGACTCTCCGACACGGAAATGGCCGACCGAAAAATGGCTGAGCGTCATATTGCTAGTTCAGTGGACATTATCCAGGAAAGAGTACATTTTATTATCACAGAACCATTGACGAAAGTATCAGTTCGTTGGGTTCCAAAGCGTCTGCGTCTGAACCACAATACACAACATGTTTCGTAATATTCTAGCTCTGTTTGAAGCTGATCCAAAAAGGTTCTTGCAACGATTTGTCACTGTGGATGGAAGCTGGGTTCAGCAGGTCTAAACAACAATGAAAACAGTGGTGGCATTTGACACCACCAACGCCAAAGAAGGCAAAGACGCTCCCATTAGTAGGAAAGATTAGATCATCCTTGTCCTGGGATGCCGAGTGTGTCATCATGTTTGTCTATCTTCAGAAAGGCCAGACAATAAATGGAGCATAGTATGCTGCATCTTTTTGCAAGTACGTGATGAAATTATGACAAAGAGATGTGGGAAGGTGAGAAAAGGTTTGCTGATCAGGACAATGCGGTAGCCATTGCCATGCATGTGGCTTCAATCTATCATTCATCCAGCATCATTCATTCAGCACCCACCTTAATTCTCCTGATGTCACACCATCAGACTACCAAATGAAGAAATCACAAGCCGGTAACCGATTCGACTCGAACAATGATGTCATAGCAGCTGTGGGGGACGTTTGGGACAACCAAGATAAAAACGAAACTGTGATAAAAATCCCTCTAACACAGTTGACGACAGTGTACGCATGTGGAACGGGAGTAAGTTGAAATGTTTATGTCTTCAGTTCAAGTCTATCAATGTGAGGCTCGGAAGATATCAATCGCCCCTCGTAACTAAACCACATAATGATTTACATGACATTATGAACACTGTTCTCGATTATGAAAGTAATATGGTTATGTACAAACGATTGACAATTCGAGGTAAAATTATCATATCCTGGTGTTTTACTTTCAGGCCTCGGTTTGAGGTTGGTCTGATGATTCTCGGTAACACAGGCTTCATCCCTCCACAGCAACCACGTGAGTCTGCCTCCCGTACGGCGAAAGCCTCTTCACCCAGAAGCTCGGTATCCATGATCCGTTAACGGAAATGTGTTAATCAGGACGCTTTCCTAAAGACCTGTTCAGTTCTGATCAACGGGGTTCCCTGTAATTGTTCGTGTATGCATTCTTTACTTTTGAAGTCATCTTAGTGTTGCAAAAACCACACTCTTCAATTTATGACATCAAGGAAGTTTTCATTTACTCAAATATATTTCAGGTTTTGTTTCTGAGAGTGCATGTCCATGGAATTCTGTCCAATCAGCGTTTGTCCTTGGTTACCGCCTCCACACCCACAGGCTAGGTGAGTACCAAAATGTCCAAATTAATCGTTCATCTTCTTAAAGTGGAACATCCATCTGTGCAAACATACATCAGTGGTCTGCATGTAATATATATGCATGTGATCTCAAACACCATAAACACCATGCAACACTGGGTGCACTGGGTCATCATATCAAATACGTACATGTGTGAACTTAACGTCTCGGCATTGTACTGAGACATTTACTGTTTGAGTCATTAATACAGCGAGCCTTTGGTTGCTGCAGACTAGCTCCGTGGTCACACGCACGTACGTCGATTTTAAAGTTAAATAATCTTGAACGCAACATTAAACCCCATTTCACCACACCACCATCGATGCGTATGACATAGGTGACAAATGAATGGTGTTCTTGAATAATGACGTTTCATGTTACCATCAAATCTTATTAAATTTTTCAGGCCGCTGGATAGAAGGTTTTGCAGTTTCTGAAGAAGGTTGGAAACTTATTGGGGAGGGGAGACCACTCTCTCCAGAGGTATGCTACATATGAAATGACGCTATGTTAATGGTGGTGTTGATGTCCCCAGAAATAATGCAAGGTTCATAATCATATTTGGTGAAACAGTTATCATCTTTACATTGGACAAATACACTGAAATCAATCTGAATATATTGATTTATATTATCATTTATATAAAAATCATTACCTACAGTGAATAATCCATCAGTTATTATTAATACTATTTTGTCACAATTTCAGAATGTCCATCGTAGTTTTACGAAACAACTTTTAAGGAATGGAGACTTTTTGGTGAGTCATATCTGTATTACTTGTTTATGTTGTGTGGGACAAGTTCAAATGGATGACAACAACCTTTACATTTTTCTTACATTTGAAACTTTTGACTTCTGGCATACTCAAGAACAATCGAGTGGGTTAAATGAGTGAAAAGGGCATGTTTTCCAACTTCAAGTGAAAATCTAACCAGAAGCCAGTCATTTACACAACTTGATTTTTTTTTTACTTTGTGTTCTACCTACAGCTCCAGCTCCTAAGACAATCTACTTGTAACGCACACTTATTCATAAACAAATATTTCAAAAATGCTTCCTGAAAACTTCTAAAGTAAGCCTTTTCAACACATTTCTGCCTTACCTACACATGTAGTGTTATCCAACATGTGCAAGCCTTGAAGTATTCTTGTTATCCCACGTCCGAAATTATTATGCTATCTGTTTCAGGCTTCGAGGTGTTACTATGAAAATCTTCAGTCAAAACCTGTGAACTTCGGGTGGGTATTTCATAGTTAGGTTCATGCAGCATATGTGATAAATACTGCATCAAATCACCACACTTCACTGAGTTGGCTCAGCTAGAACCGCTGATCGTGGGTTCGAATCCCTGGTTCTGATTCTTGGTTATCAGCACCATATCAGCGCTCATGGTTCACACTGCATACGTCTACAAACCGTGTCTCTGTTGGCTTTCCACAAACATTAAGCATGTATCTGGAATATTACCGAAGTACTGTTCAAATTTGCGTTAAACAATCTCGTTTCTCATATTGCCATATAACGTATACGGTTAAAAGTAGATAGTGTGTGTTTGTTGTAAATTATACATAAAAATATAAGCATAAATGACAATCGTGTTCTATTTCAACAATTATCATGTTTATAATCTCTTTTCAGATCTGATTTTCATGATGAAATGTGCAATTTCCACCTGCTGTACGTTTTCCCATATGGCTCTGCGCCCTCTCTACGCTTCCGAACATGCGCACAAGACGCCCAGGTTTTTCATCTAAAAGATGCGTTCTTCTCCGTTCCTGAAGGAAAAATGCATACGGGCGGAAAATCTGATACACAATATGGATATTAACAATATATGTGTCTCACGCGAGTTAGAATAATGTTATTTATCAGAAATGAGGGCCGCAATCAGCTGACAATTTTGACCTGCTATATAGATATGTTGTTGACACGTGCCAACTTTGTTAACTGACGGAAGCAAAAGACATGCTGAATATGTTAAGGTTGCAAAACGTCGTTCAGAAAACGTTTTATCAAATCTGTTGTCCTAGGACTGAATATCAATATTTCATCTCAGACATATCGAAAATTAATAACGAAAAATGTAACGTAATTTCACAATAAAGATTCACATTTTGCAAAAAAGATGTCCTTGCCTTTCTTGACTTGAACCCCATTACCCTATGTTTCTCGCAAGAGCCGACTAAGTGAGGATACGGGTACAGTGTCTCACCTGGCTGATTGAGCGTCATCCTACCTCGACAGTGCTCATAATTTCCCACTCACCATTGATTTGTGGATATTACAGGAAGCCCTGGTATAACCAACTCTGCCATTTTAGACGGCCACAGAAATCAGTACATACAAACATGCATGTCCATTACCTTCCAATCAGATACGTGTCTCACACAAGGTCCATCACAACCTTTTCAAATCGCGGGTATGTACCGAGTTTGAGTGACATACCGTAAATGATTATTGACTTCTCAGTTAAAGCTCTTAAAAAGCATACGATCCACGCCATCGACATAGCAACCAAGTCTGACCACCCGATCCGTTAAATCGCTTCTAACGACCAGTACAGGTTGCTGGGGGCATATATTCCAACCCGGAGTATCTTCAGGTGTACAAAATATACCAAAGTATTTCGAGTATATCATTATTACATAAAATATTAAAATATGATTATGTACGTAACATACCAATGGGACAATCAATCCCCGTGAAACAACCACGTTTTCATTTGTTCAGTCCTTATATTTCTAACATTGGCTATTGAGGCAAACAGTTTCGATACATAATATACATGAAAAAAACTGTCCAAGAGCAGGACCCGAAAGTGAGAGTGTCCAGAGTGTGATGCCTTGCCTGGTACATGAACGGTGTAATTGACGAACCTAATCAATAACCCTCGGCGTACTTCTAGAATGTGCAGAGTTGTGTCCCTTGAGCGTGCCATAAACCACTGTTCGTTGGCTGGAATCCCGGTTCACCCGTTTGTGTTTCAAGGTTTGTCAGCCATAGCCCTCGTCGGGCTCTCACCAAAGTGGTAAACGTCAATGACCTGCATTACAAAGGGCTTCCCATATGAAGCTGACACACCGTAACATAACTGAAATATTAAAGTCACGACAAACCAAACTCTCACACGCTAAACATGCCGGACATACGAGGGGTAGCTGGAACGTTCTTAAGCTAACTACCGAGGTTGTGAAGTACACCCTTAACAGTGTGCATGTATTAAGTAGAATACTTTCATTGCTTACAAGTTGCAGCTGAATCAAATACACAACCAGGCAGCATGTTTGTGGAGGCATCACACGACTACGAATTTTCTGTTGATGAAAATGGACACTGTTGACTACAGCTGTCATCAAGTATCTCCAACTGAAAGGGCTAACTCCAGCTGCCGTCCATGTGGACGTGGTGTCAACTTTGGGGGAAGACGCTTCTTCCTTTACCACTGTTACGAGAACAGAAGAGTTCAAGAAGGGAAGAGAGAGCTTCAAAACTTATCAAAGATCAGAAATACCTTCAACTGCTACCACTGAGGAAAATGTTGATAAAATACATGATATGATGATCGACCACACACCACACGCCACACAGCCAATGCAGATGGCATCTTTCATGAGAGAGTTGCGAACATTGTGAGGAATGAACAGGGCATGACAAGGGTTTGTCACGCTGGTTTCCGAGGCTTCTGACTCCTGATCAGAAACGCTCCAGGTTCGGCATCTCTCGTGGGAATTTGCGTCGTTTTGGGATGATTTTCTGAGCGATTAGTCATCATGGGTGAGTCTAGGGTTGACCACTATCAGCCAGAGACTAAATGACAGTCAAAGCAGTGGAAACGTCCCACGTCTCCTCCTCCAAATACGGCGAAGTGTGGTCTCATTGCAGATGTGTTGTTCCGCCATGACAAGTCTGTTGTCGACATGATTTCAATGCATGACTTTGTCTTTAAATTCATTGACCATCCTCCGTATTCACCAGATTTGGCGTCGTCAGACCTGTCTGGCAAGCACTAAGCAAATGATGATGAATGACATTTTTGTCCATGAAGGACCTTTTACATCACGAGGAGGAAGCCTTCCACACCAGTGGGATCCAGGACGAGCCACGTGCGTGGACCTCACAGAGTATTGTGTTGAAGCTAAAAATAGCAACATTCAGTTAACTTGTACATGTATTAATGCTTGCAACATACCCACTTTTCGATCATGGGTAAACGTCGCATTTGGTATCAGCAAAATATTTGTGTTTTCACTAAGGAAAAACATTACCTCTGAACATTTATAGTTAGATAACTCTGTTACAATCACAATGGAGAAGACGTCGCACCTTGCAGGTGGGGTTTACTTATTGGGATGGGGTTTGGTTGCAGGTGGGGTTTACTTATTGGGATTGGGAACCCCAGTAATTAACCGATCAGTTGTCATGCCCACGATAGGGGGTCGATTCTCAACATTATGTGAGACATAGTCTTCATGCATCTATATTCACTCAGTTTTTGTTGACGGTTGTATTATAATAATCCTATAGTTGGGAGTTTTTCGGAGTCATAGATACCCAATACTATATTTACAGCTTCTTTACTATTATTTCTGTTTGTAAACATGACATTGTAAGGATTTGCAAATTAGATAAAAGAGGCAATTGACCCCTTAACGGCTCTGCTCTCTGTAACTTACCACAAGTGTTCATAACTATCAGGGTGAATGTAGGGGATTCGAACCCACGACCAGTTGATCCTGGCGCGGAGCCCTTCCGGACGCAAGTTTTCACAAAATGCGGCGCCTTGCTCCACTCGGCCTCATGTGTTCGGGTATACCGATATAAAGATCATGCTGTCTTACTGAAGTCGGTTCGTGCTATGCTCTTGACAGACTTCGACTGTCTGAGTGCATGTGTTGGCCTTATCCAAAGAAGAGTGTGTTGTCACATACATAAGGTATAGGGTCCCATAAAAAGCACGTGTTGAACTAAATTTCTCCTTATGGTTGATAGAAAGGAGCTGTTGCCACCGGTGAGCTCATGGATCTGATTAACTTGTGTGTATGTGTGTGTGCGTGCGTGCGTGCGTGCGTGTGTTTAAAGTATGCAGGTATAGCCTTCAGGTATATTGTCCAGTTAAAGTACGTAGGTATAAGGTGTTGGCATAGCGTGTATGGGTATAGTGTCTGCAGGTACAGTTTGTGGGTAAAGTGTGTAGGTATAGCGTGATGGTTTTGTGTGTAGATATATATAGTGTGGGGGTATGGTGGCTGTAAGTACAGTCTGTAGGCATAGTGTGTGTAAGTACACCAGGGTAGTACATAAAGTGTTTGTATAGAGTGTATGTATAGTATGTAGGTATAATGTGAAGATAGATTGGTATCGATGATATTGTTTGTTGATGTTGGGTAAGAAGCAACAGCAAAAATAACTACCTGAGTGTATCAATGCTTCACAAATGTCACGCACTGTAGTAAGTCCTAGAACTTTTCATTAGACACATAAAACTGACGACATGTGTTTGTTTTTCAAATGCATAGACAAATATAGCAAATATTGACAGTACGTAAGAAATATGGAAGCGCCGGAACCGTTCAAATGAGAACCAAGTTGTACACGTCAAGCGATGTGTCAGTAACACCTCATTGTGTAGCCAGGAAACCAGTTATTGTGTCTTTCTTGTAGTAGTCTTAACTATCATGTTCAAGTAGTAAGTGATAGGCCCCCTGTTCCGCTCGACACGGGCTCCTAAAATAAATCACAATCAGGCAGGCTGTTATTTATTGCTATTCAATTTATGCCAGGAAGCAATGTGTCTTCTTGACTGTAATGACGTGCACAGAGATTGTAGGTACACGCATGAGTGAATGAGTTGTGTTTAACGTCGCTTTAAGCCACATTTAAGTTATACCAATGCATCAAGTGTTAGTTTTATTAGAGGAGGGGTTTGGGATCGGGGTGTTGGGGGAAAGGGGGAGGGGGGGGGGGGGTGAATTTCAAATGAGGCAGGTCGTAGACGTTTACTGTGTTTAAAACCCAACAGCACGGGTATGCTGCTGACATTCATGAGCTCATACTCCAGGCCAAAATGGTATTCGAAGCCCTAAACATCGGATCCTTGTGTGACTAAGGGGCGCAACTGTGCAACTGTCCAGACTTGACATTCGATGATGCTGTGTTGTACTTTTATGGCGCTTCATTTATATGTAACTAAATATACGTCAAAGCCAGAGTACCTGACAAGAACGTTTAAAAGTGAGAACTTATAATTTCGTTTTAATGTTTTGGCGTAATTCGATTGCAAAACTCCATGGAAAAGTTTGAAAAAAAGAAAGAAAAATAATATATTGATTGATTGAAAAGGGGAAATTCCGCGATTTTTCTGCAATTCTGCGGTAAGTCTGTGGTAAGATGTTTTCTTGCACTGTTGCATTTAGGTAACCAAGGATTATATTAACACCCTGTTCATAGAGATCACCATACATGTCTATGAGCTCGTATAGAGCGTCCCGATACACATAATGCAACACATCAGTCGACGGTAGGTGACATGCTATTAGATAAACATCGCTGAGTTAGTTTAACAGCTATCGTACAGTCTGTGTTTACAGTGAAAGAGTGAAATTTCCACCCACTGTTGACTGTGATTGCTAAGCCACCCGATCCCCGACATCATAGCGTCAGTAGAAAGGGGATTATACCAAGTATAGGTCATTAAACATGTTTAAAAGAAATATTCTTTTTGCCGGGAGCCAATACTCCAGTTATAACGCGCAAGAATCCACACCAAGCGCATGATTTCCCCCGCATTACATGCTCAACTCCCTCAGAGGTATTCAACCCAGGCAGCCTTTTAGGCGCCATAGAAACACGAATACATCTCAACATAGTCCTCGGAGACCTAACCATTGTCACGGTTGAGATTGCATACAGTAAACTACGGTTATAGCGAACACGCTTATAACGAACTGACGGATATAACGAACAAACTTACTTGGACCCGACTATTTACTGTAGTTATTCTGTATATATGCTTATAACGAACTACGGTTACAACGAACTTAAATTAGTAATCCCCATGAGTTCGTTATAACCGTAGTTTACTGTACTTGCAGCTGATATTTGAACCATGCGCTCTCCAAAATGACCACGTCACA